TTTACCAGTCACTATGATCAAATGTCCAAAAAATACTATAAATATGCACTTTGGAACACAAAGTTAGTGATTACAAGTCACTATAATCAAATGTCCCAAAAATACTACAAATATGCACTTTGGAACACAAAGTTAGTGATTACCAGTCACTATAATCAAATGTCCCAAAAATACTACAAATGTGCACTTTGGAACACACAAGGTTAATGTTTACCAGTCACTATGATCAAATGTCCAAAAAATACTATAAATATGCACTTTGGAACACAAAGTTAATGATTACCAGTCACTATAATCAAATCTCCCCAAAATACTACAAATATGCACTTTGGAACACAAAGTTAGTGATTACCAGTCACTATAATCAAATGTCTCAAAAATACTACAAATATGCACTTTGGAACACACAAAGTTAATGATTACCAGTCACTATAATCAAATGTCCCAAAAATACTACAAATATGCACTTTGGAACACATAAAGTTAATGATTACCAGTCACTATAATCAAATGTCTCAAAAATACTATAAATATGCACTTTGGAACACACAAAGTTAATGATTACCAGTCACTATAATCAAATCTCCCAAAAATACTACAAATATGCACTTTGGAACACATAAAGTTAATGATTACCAGTCACTATAATCAAATGTCTCAAAAATACTACAAATATGCACTTTGGAACACACAAAGTTAATGATTACCAGTCACTATAATCAAATGTCCCAAAAATACTACAAATATGCACTTTGGAACACACAAAGTTAATGATTACCAGTCACTATAATCAAATGTCCCAAAAATACTACAAATATGCACTTTGGAACACACAAAGTTAATGATTACCAGTCACTATAATCAAATCTCTCAAAAATACTATAGTTTATTTGGCTTTCTAAGCAAGTTATAAATATGGTAAAAATATTCTATTAGATGTTTGGAGGAGGAACGTAATGTTCACTTATACGTGAAACTATGATATACTGTTATTCTATGGGTGCCAAAATCAAATAGTTGTAGTGAACCTTATGTAGAAGAGAAACTGCTCTTTATATTTGATATAAAATATCTATCAGCTTTGTTAAGGTTAATTAGTCTCGAAATTCAGAGATAAAGAAGGGGGAATGGCTTCTCTGGTGGATTAATCAAACTTATCTTAGGAAATTGAGAAGGTAGAATGCTAGAATTTTATATTTTTTGCTGTATTTATGTATATTTTGTGTTTCTAATTCATTGTAAACTGTAAAATTTGTCATGAAAGTAAAAATATTGATGCAGTTTTAAACTTAAATTGTTTCTGAATTAAGCTATTTTCTGTTATATTACCAATTTTTTTTTATAAAAACAAATCTCTTTAATCAGTGTAGACTAAATTAATAAATCAACAAATATTTTTTCAGTTTTGTTGTCTATATATTTCATATTATATTTTCAGTACATAGACTAACAACAGTATCAGGTCATAATTTTGTTGCTGAGCAACATGACATAAAAGCCATTGTTGAAATGTAGTGTTACCAAAACGCACTGGCTTTTCTATATATTAGAAGTTGTTAATCTAACTGATTTTTACCAATAATTATTCTATGAATATGCCATAAAATTTATTTCATAAATGATGTTAATTTTGATTGACTCACAAAGGAATTTACAGACATTTGACTACCTCAACTACACTTTTCTGCCTCTTTGTTGGTAATTAAATTCTGAATGTAACACTAAAAGGTCATGACATGCAAAGGGTTAATCATCAGGCTTAATAACATTCAGATTAGTCACACAAAACTTGGATAGTCGTAATAATTGGAAACACTGTTTTCTGAGATGATACTTCACTTTACACACTGAATAGCTTGATGCACTTGTTTATGAGATTTACATGACATTAGCCTTGAACTAACTCCTACCTAAAAAGTATGAACTTTGCTGTGTATATGGCATCATCATGCAATGATAGCCTCTACCAATAGGAGGGTAACACAGCCTTCTTGCTTAGTAGTTCCCCTTAAGCACTTGTGCTCGTAATAACTGCATTCTTTTCCTTGGCATTGTCTAGAATGGATGTTTCAAAATTGCTGATTAATTACTTGAGACTTGTGATGGTTTCCAACTGATTTAAACTTGGTTTCAGTTTCTTTGGTTCAGTGTTCATAATTCACATAATTAGTGTGGTCTTTTTTTGCTTTTAATTAGATAAAAAAAACATAATCGTGTTTTATGAATTTTCAAGTAATGGTAATTTCCACTTTGTCCCATGATAGTGTTTATGTTCCTAACATGGGACCTGTGTCTGTTGTGGTTACTGGGGGCTTGTCCAGGGAGAATGTGATAGCCATTGTTCAACATGTTCTGGGTTCCTTCATACACACTGGGCTTCCTCCTCTCATCCATTCAGCCAACATTTCTTCTCTACCTAGTTTGAACATAATCAAGATGATGATTTGACTAGCTATTTCTCCATCAGGGTTTGCTTTAGGCACAGCTCTATCTGTGGTGGAAAATCCTCATACTTCTAACTTCTTCCTCATCAAGATTTTGCAGGAGTGTTATTTTCTTTCTCATTCCCTATTTTTTTATTCCTCCCATGCTTTAATACATGAAACCCATACTCACTACTTTGTCTTCCATTCTTCACCTGACATTAGGGTACAACAACTGCATACCCATACTAACATATCTTGTCCTCCTCATCTACTTGATTCTTTTTGTGCTGGCTTACAGCCATTGTTCATTTTTCTTCCTCAATTCTCAGTCTTCGGAATCTCTCTTGTTTGAGTGTGGGATAGACCCCTTAATTTCTGTTTCCCTTTCTAGTGCTCAATTTTTGCACCTTTGTCTCTTTTTTTACCACGTTCGTGCCTTATCTTTTGTCACCTCATCTTATGTCTGAAGCACTTTATTGTGTTCTGGAGAGGTTTATTCTCATGTTCTCACCACAGTGGCCAGTGGCTTGTATTTCTTCTTCTGCTCTATCCCTCCTTACTTGATTCCTTTGCCATTGGGACAGGATGTTCTCATCTGATGTACAACCCCTCTCATGATTATTTTTGTGATCATTTCCAGGCTCTGTTTCTTCACCCAGAGGTTTTGGGGGTTGTTCGTTATTCACCAGACACCCAAGCTGAAGCAGCCCAGCATCAGTCCTCATTATTTACTATGGTTTCTTATCTTTTTCAACCTTGCTATTTTATTCTTATTCTTAGGACTGCTAAATTCACATCTCCCCTCCTCATTCAAACCTCCTGGCCTTCTTCTACTTCCCATCCTCCCAGTTACTGATATCAAGGTCATTGCTCGTCTCATCAATGACTATCCTGTTGGATCTGATCCTGTGGGGGCTTGTCTTTGCCAGTCTTTGGTCTCCATTTTTGACCAACAGAGGGTTTTCAGTTTCTCACTCACAGCTTATCTCTCCACTTCTCTTCATCTTCTTTCCCCTTTTTATTTCATTTCCTTCTCTTCCTCCTGTTCCCCTTTACCTGTGGATGACAAAGGTTGATATTTCAGATGCCTTTTACAAGTTCTTATCACCCCCATCTTCCACATGTTTCGTTGGTTTCACCCATTGGGATTGGTCATCCAGTTCTTGTTCTTTTTTTTGGAATTGTGCCTACTCTTTATGTCTTTAATTAAGACATGGAGCATTTGCCCACCTTGTTCATAGATTTGGGGCTGATATTCCATCATTACATAGACAATTGACTTCTCTTTGTCCATTCTCTGGAGAATTCCTCACACACCTGCATTCTTCTGCAAGAGGCTTCACAGCTGGGCTGGTTTTTCAAACCTTCCAAGTTTGTTCTCATGCCTGCCCTATTTTAGGTACATTGGAACATGTTCTTTAATTATCCACACTTGGACTAAACTAGCCAGTAAACACAATATTCCTGTCAACGTCAAATTTTCACAAAAACCCGGCCCTAAATTAAAATCGTTACTGAACAAAAATTATTTAGAATCGCACGATACCAACGTCATTTACAAAATAACATTCTACATAGGAGAAACAGGAAGAAAATTGGAAACCAGATTGACAGAACACAATAAAAAACCTTCCCACGCTTTTCACCATTGCAGCTCAAAAAAC